GACGATGAGGTTTTCAGCGGTGGAAGACGGCACGAGGCAGGCGGTGTCGGAGGAATCAACGAGGGTGTACGTTGGGTCGGTGGGGTTGACGGCAAGGCCAAGGAAGAGGCCGAGCGTAAAGAGGGAATTAACGTTAACGATGCCGTCCAACGCCATAAGATGGATGGTGGTGCTCTTTAGTTTATGGCGGTCGGTGGTCATCCGGTTGATAGCAGCTGCAGATTCTAAAAAAATTGGTTGGAATTGGAGGGGGCGATGGAGACTTGAAGGAGGAATTCAGAGGGTTCGCGTGTAGTTACCGGCAAGGAAGAGAGGAGTGCAAGGAAATACAAGATTTAATTTTAAAAAAACGACGCCGTTGCCGGGGATCGAACCCGGGTCACCCGCGTGACAGGCGGGAATACTTACCACTATACTACAACGACTGATGTGTTTAACTTTTTAATATTTTAATTTTAAATTTTAAATTTTAAATAAATAAAAAATAAATATTTTTTTTTGATTAACCTGGAAATCTCACCCGCTATGCGAGCCGACTAATCCCAGGGCAACCACCTGCTTTGCAGATAGCCCAAGTCATCGCATTTGAACCTCCGTGATCACAAAATAATTTTTATTACTCATTAGATTTGAACTTAAGACCTCCAGACAATTTTAACCATTAGAGCCAAAATTCTTGTGGTTTTTGTATATTATTATATGCCAAATTTCTTGTTCTAGACTGAAAATTTATATAATTTGTTGTTTCATCTTTTCTATAATTGGTTGATAAAATATCAAATTAAATAAATAAAAATATACTCAAGGCAAATTCTGTTTTACTCAATATTTTTATATATGACATAAAAAGTATTGTTCCAAATTAGGCGAACTGGAAAAATACCTGATTTGTTTGGTTTGTAGGATCTGATATAATTTGGAAGAATTTTGAATTGAATTTCTTTGTAATCCTATGTTTGGGTTGAAAGAATGTTTGGATTTGATATCTCAAGATCTGATTAAAATCTAATAAACATGAGATTTAGAAATCACATGGGGATAACTGGTAACTTGAATGGTGTAGGTTAAATGTGTGATTTTGAACCGGGCCCCGAAATTTTACTCTGCTTATGTCATTTCATCAATGAATATAAAACTATAGCCTACCTCGGTACATCTCTAATTTTTATTTTATATTATATATATAGTTTGAGACGACGTATAGATACAAATATTGATATACATTATCATGGTAAACAAAAAACATTTTATTAGTATATATTCCGTTATGCTGGTATGTAAACAAATCCATGATTTGCTCAAGCACGAGTAGAGATAACTTGACCAATGATCGTCCCTTCATCACAACCGAGTACGATCCTGTTTAAACACGAAAAAACTATTTAGTTTATTTTAGCGAATGACGGATGTTTTAATGTAAAGTTCGAGATACTTACTGGGTCACTTTTAAAAATCCGATGGTCCAAACCCCTACCAAGTTCAGAAGTGAACACATAGTCTAAGTTGTATGTTTTTGCTCATATATATATATATATATATATATATATATATATATATATATATAGGGGCCTATTCAAGGGAGAACTGAGTTGTTTGTGGTAACTGTGAGAACCAATATTAACTACAAATCAATAGATAAATTAGGAAATTTATAAATTTGGTAATTTTAAATTAAAATCTTAATACAAGGATATTTTTGGTATTTTAAAACTCTCATCTCTCCTCTCTTCTCTCTCTGGCCACCGTCCTCCGATGATACCACTATGATACCACTGTGATACCTAAAAATATTGATTCTGTTAAACAAAAGATACATTGTGATACCTAATTATATATAAGATGCATAGTGATACCACTGTGTTACATCTTCGATCGACCACACAAACGACATCAATGTGATATCCAAGCACATATGTGATGCATTGTGATACCATTGTAGTATCACCGGAGGACGGTGGCCGGCGGACGGTGGCCGGAGGATGGTGGCCGGAGAGAGAAGAGAGGAGGGAGGAAAGTTTTAAAATACAAAAAATATCCTTGCATTAATATTTTAATTCAAAATTATAAATTTCCTAATTTATCTATTGATTTGTAGTTAATATTGGTTCTCACAGTTACCACAAACTAATTAGTTCTCATTTGATTAGGCCCCTATATATATATATATATATATATATATCTATATCTATACTATATTATAATGCATTTGGCTAAAACTCTTAAAAACTCTTAAACTCTTAAACCCGTTCATCCATATCCGATTTCATCCCATAATTGAATTCATGTAACTAACTGCAGATAAACACAATCAAATAC